ACCCTAAGCCCCTAAGCCCTAAACCATTGCGCTACACCCTGCATGATTATTTCTAAATTGGGATCGCTTTTGGGGTGCCTTTTATCAGGGAACCCTTAATTTAGCCGGTGCACCTGGCATCACGAAGTTGGAGGCTCAGCTTTAAGAAAGGGCTTGAGGTTTAGATTTCTGCGGCTGGGGCTGAGACCCCAAACCCTAAACCTGAAACCCCTAAACCCCAAACCCTAAACTTGAAACCCCTAAACCCCAAACCCTAAACTCTGAAAACCCTAAACCCTAAACCCTAAACTCTGAAAACCCTAAACCCCAAACACTAAACTCTGAAAACCCTAAACCCCAAACCCTAAACTCTGAAAACCCCAGGGGTCCTGAACCCCACTTTAGAGACTTCGGGTCCCAGAGAGCCCAACACCACTTAGCTAAGGAATGTAAGGGTTTAGGGGTTAAGGGTTTAGGGTTTAGAGCTTTAGGGTTTAGGGTTTCGGGTTTAGGGGTTTAGGGTTTTTGGGTTTAGGTTTTAGGGTTTAGGGTTGGCTTTAAATCATAATATCAAGCTCCATATATTTAAAGCATATTCCTTGATCAAGGGGTTTCGGGCTCTCTGGGTACACCGGGCTTTGCGACTTTCTTTGCGACCAGCCAAACAATTACCCATCAATTCAGGAACATAATTAGCTTGACCTAGATATGCGGATCCCCCCAAAATCCTAAAGTCGTTAACTGAATGGATTTTCCTTACAAGCCCTAAACCCTAAAACCCAAACTCATTTAAAGGAAACTACAAGTGGGGAGTTCAGGGTATATAGGGCTTCTATAGGGCTTCTATAAGGTATATAAACCTTCTATAAGGCTCCTATAACGGTAACTACCCACCTGAAAATGTCCTAGACTCATGAAGTATCCCGTTTTTGGGCTATTAAGTTATTAAGGCTCATGGTTCCGGCTTTGGGATCTGAAGGTGAAGCGTCGCTCTTGTCGAACTCAGCCTCTGTCAAGACACCGAGTTCAACAAAGACTTCCAACGAGGTCAGTTCGAAGTCCATGACATCACTGGGGCGAGGGATCTCATGATCCATCCCATCGTCTTCACCAGCCCGCACCCGGCAGGCCTTACCGAACCTGCCCTTGAACTTGGGCTCTTTGTCCAACCTGGGACAAAACAGTAACAAGGACGAAACACATCATAGAGCGCAGTGACGACCGGGCAACACAACATCACATCAAAGGGCTCCCACTCTATCAACTGGGCTGCAGACCGCTCACAGCAATGTGTCCAAGGATGCCCGGGGTACATCTCCGAGAAACCAGAGCAGGAATTGTAGCAAGCATCATCGACGGGATGGACCAAGCTGTCTTCGGACGCCATGGTGCAGTCCTACCGCGCTTGCTTTGTCCCGTTGAACTGTCCCGCTGAACGCTACTTCTGAAATTTCTCTTGGCACACACGAAAGCAGCCGAAGCTAAAGGTTCTAGCAACGCTTTCTAACCAGGGAAGATCTTTATGCAAGAACAACAAGCAACTCTGCAAACTTAAGCAACTCTGCGAACTTCGTACCAATAGTATGGGCCCTTCAGGATTGGATCCTTATATACCTATTATATACCCTTTTTGTACCCTTAAGGGTCCTCGAAAGGCCTAAGGGTCCATATTAGGGGCCCATACTTGTAACCTTAGAGTCGCGACTGGTCTGGGTTGCTCTGTGGGCTCCTTGAAGGGATCTAAAAGGTTTCCTTTACGTGGTCCTTTGAGGGTTTAGGGTTTAGGGCTTATTACCATAATGGGGATAGATAGTGAATCATAGGGTTTCCTTATTCTACTAACTTAATTGAAGTCCCTTACTAGCAACCCAGTAGTCAAAGCTACAGAAGTAGGAACAATAATGATACTGGCTTAATGCTACAAGGCTAAGTATCACTAACCCGAGAACGAAGAGCTTTAGTAAGCAACAGCATGCCTACCAGATAGGAAACAGTTATGCAAAATTAAGCCCATCGCCTGAACTAATAATAAACATTAGAACCGTCAGTCACAGTATCCCTGCAAGGGAATCCAACAGCCCTGAACCCTAGAGCCCTGGAGCCCTAAAGCCCTAAACCCTGAAGCCCTGAACCCAAAACCCTGAAACCCTGAAACACTAAAGCCCCTAAACCCCTAAACTCCTAAACCCTATAAACCCTGAACCCCTAAACTCCTAAACCCGATAAACCCCTAAACCCTAAACATCAAACCTCGGGTTTGGGATCGAAGGAAGTCCTTCTTCGCA